CAGTTCAGCGTAAAATTTAAATTTTTGGATATATTGTTCGAAAAATAATAAGCAAAACCCTAAATATACCCTATATAGTGTATAAACAGTAAATATAAATGTATTTAAACAGTTTTGACACTTGCAAAAGTCTCCAACTTGATAGCTCATGTTACACTAAAACAAGCTTTCACAATTTAGAAATTCAACGCGGTTCACGGTTAAACTTCCAAAACGTGTAATATTTTTTAAGCAGTCATTGAAACGATTATGTTGTTTGTATGATGTGAATGTCAAATTTTCAAGAACTTAGAGTCGTTCACTTCTGTCAAAAATGTCTTAAGGTAGTACTGTTGACAATCTCAAAGTGAAATGAGTACATAGTCACTTAACTTGTTTTTCATACTTCGACGAGTATACCAACTTAAATATATTGTATAATTTTAAAATAGAATCAATTTTCAACTAAAACCAACTACTATCAGCCCTCACATGCAACCAATCAATGTTTTGAGAGTTATAAAGTATTCTTGAGGTTTTTAATTGACGATCCATCGATTTTTATCAAGGTTTTGTTGGTAGTTCTTGTTCACTATGAATTTTTATGTACCAAATACGTGATATTTTATAAGACTGCTTACGAACTGCTTAAAATTTGAAACATCAACAACTTTGTACATATGCACTTTAGGTCCACAAAATTTTAACACAATTCTTGGATAATAATGATTCATCAATATCTTGTAGGTCAATCAATATACGACAGTACTATAAGCTAAGTCAATTTGTTTTCAGTATTCATACACAAATAAAGTTCATTAAGGAATGAGGTTATGATTTGTTCAACAATTTATAGACAAAGTTAAATTTTTGAGTAATGTCATAGACGCAAGAAGCTAAAAATTTCTTCCTTTGCCGCGTAAGTGTACCTTAAGAGATGTTACTGGACAGCACGAAGTGTAAGGAACTTCAACACAAAAAAATGGTTGTTTGATATTATTTTATTAATCATTCACTTTGATTCATAAAAATCTTGATTGATTTTTGTACAGAACAAGAGCAAAACTAGTTTTATATTGCAAAGTGGTTATTAGCTTCTTCGGAAGAAGTACAAAGTAAGTGTGGTTTCTATTGTGTGCATACCAAATTGAAAGTGTCCAATTAGAACGGATAAGAAAATTATTTGTCGGTTTTTAATCGGTTTTTACACTTGGAAAACCACATAAACAGAATGACATTGAAAACTTAATTTTTCGTATATTTTTGTTTTTACCAGCACAAGATTAAACATAAGTGAATCTGCGATTATCAGTCCCACCATCCGGATAGCAACACTAAAACTGAGGGGATTCAATTATTTTACATAGAGTAGTAATAAAAAGTTTTTTTATTCTTTTTTTTTTTTTTATTAACATTCCATGTCAAATAGTTGAACCCTACCGTTTTGCTGTTGCCATCCGAATGGTGGTCCCAAATTGTTGTACATTAGCTTATACTAAATTTAATCTTGTACTAATCTAGATATGAAAAAAAAGACTTTCAAACGCTATTGAGTTTGACGGGCCTCTCTAAGTGCAAAAATTGACTAGAAACAAACAAAAATATTTATTACTAGTTTTTATTGAACACCTTCAATTGGGTACATGTACAGTTATGGTAGCTTGATTGGACTCCGAAAAATTTAATTACTTTAAAATATTCAAAAATTTAAATTACAAATAAGAATCAAAGCAAATCCAAGTTACGACAATTTTCTGGAATAGCTGTTTCTTTATTTCTACTTTGAATAAGATTCTTTTTTATTCATAGAGTTCTGTACAAAAAACTATGAATTTTCTAAATTAAAAACTAAATTTAATGAATGTTTTAATAGTTGTTTTCGTCGGATAAGTGCCACCGTCTCTGGGGCTATTTTGTGGCCCGAGGGACCTGCGAAACAGAAAAGCGAACTTTAAAAGTTAGTTTTCCTATCTCGGGCGTTTTTGAGGGTCAGGTGTGCCCTCGGTAGGAAAAATAGGATTCGCCATATAAGTGCCATCGCTTCACAGATACCTTACGTCCCTCGGTTCCTGCTTCGCAGGTTGCTCCGGCCGTAAAATAGCCCCAGAGACGATGGCACTCATTTGATGGAAACTACTATTTCTTACTATGGGCACAAAACGGCAACTGCCATACTTGGGTCATACTTTCCACCCTTGAAATCTCTATAGGCCTACGTGCGCAAAATAGTAGTTTTCGTCGGATGAGTGTCATTGTCCCCAGGGCCTTTTTATGGACGTAAAGTAGCCATAGAGCAATGGTATTTATGTGGTGAATCTTATTTTTCCTACCGAGGGCACACCCGATCCTCAAAAACGCCCAAAGTCTGAAATTAGTAGTTTTCCTACGAGTTTGAAAAGTATTTGTTTGCGAACCGAGAGGTTTGCGGCCCGAGCCGAAGGCGAGGTCCGTAACGAGGTTCGTAAAGGAGACTTTTCGAACGAGTATCGGAAAACTGCTTTTTTGCCCGAGGAAGTACCAGCCTCCCAAAACCACCCGAGGGCGGAAATGGTACATTACGTCACTAAGGCGCAAAGTACAAACATGAGATTCCGAAGGGCGCGATTGTTGTATGTTGGTGCCCAAGTCACGAATGTTTTTCTTACCGAAGGAGCAAAGTAAAATTTTGTGCCCGTGGGCACACTTTGGGCCCTAGGGCAGAAAAGTACTTTGGGCCCGGAGGGCGCAAAAAACTTTTTTGCCCGTCGGCTCAAAGTGATTTCAAGGGCACAAAGCCGAAACTGCACTTTGGGCCCATGGCAAGGAAAAGAAAAAAAAAGGCCCAAAGTGCAACTGCCGCTTTGCGACCTCGGATCACACTTTGCGCTCTTGTAATTACCCTATGGGCCCAAAATACATTTATGCCGTAGGACCTAAAGTGATTAACTGAGGGCAAAGTGTGCCCAAGGGCTCAAAATTGAACTTTGCACCCTTAATAAGAAAAAAATTATACGTGACTCAGACACCAACGTACAACAACCACGCCCTTCGGGCGCTCACATTTATACTTTGTGCCTTAGTAACGTAATGTATCATTACGTCCTCCGGGCCCAAAGTACTTTTCTGCCCTAGGACTCAAAGTGATTTAGAGGGCCCAAAGTATGGCGCAAAGTGTATTACTCTCGGTAAGAAAAACATTACACGCGACTCGGGTACCAACATAAAATAACCATGCCCTTTGGGCGCTCATGTTTGTACTTTGTGTCCTAGTGACGCAATGTAAGTACTACTTTACTGTTCAAGTCGATTCAAATTGAAAATGTCTAAAAGTCACATTAAAATCAATTTATTTTCATCGATCAAATCCTCTGAGCTGATTGAATCGACTTGAATCCGTCTTTTATATCAGTGTAAGTGTTAGCTCTATTACTGTTTCAGAAAAAGTACAACTCAGGTGCACTATCAATGTGATTTATTATGAATCAACTTGAACAACATTCCCATAAGTTTTAGTAGTTAGGTTTTGCTGATGAGTGCCCATGAAAGATTCGGAAACGCGGTTTTTCTTTTAAATTTCATGTATTAGGCGATTTCAGTCAATAAAAAATTAATTCTAATTCTTTGACACATTTAAAATAAAAAATCAATGGAGATGGATGTACTTTAACCTCACAGATTTTAAATAAAGTATTTCTTAAGTTTGAGACAACGCGTTTTTTTCCATCTTCAACCACGTTTTACTCAGCCGTTACAGCAATCTTTTAAACTTACCTGCGGTAAAATTTTATTAGATTTCAGATCATTTTTTAGTTTTTTTGTACCGATAATCAATACGAAGAAAACCCAAAAAATGATCTGAAAATGACTGGGCGTTGATGAACAATACCACGTTTTCCAAGTTGCAGATTGTTACAATTTTTTTTTTTTATCTTAACGTACACATCTTAAGGTTAAGTTTAAGCTCAAGTAAGTTAAAAATAATGCTGTAACAGCTGAGTAATACGTTGTCGAAAATAGCAAAAAATGCGTTTTCTCAAACTTGAGAAATTTCTCAGTAAAAGTCTGTTGGGTTGAGATAGATACATCTCGACTGACATTTTGTTTAAAATTTTTCAAAGAATTAGAATAAATTTCTTGTTCACCTAAACTGTAAATTTTTTAAATTAGTTTATAGAATTCGTTAGTCACAATTGATTACAGAAAAATAAAAGTAAACACCATGGTTCATCGTTATTAAGAGGTAAAATTATATCGAATAAAAAAAAATTACATGGGATGAATTTTTCATGGGCACTTGCTAGCAAAACCTAACTATAGTACATTTCGTACTGTCTCGTGAAACTTTTACCCTACGGTTACGTAACACTTTTAAAGTACGTCACACACGACTACAAACATTTATAGTTAAAACTAAGATCATGTAAATAACTTTAAATACAAAGTCAGTGTTCATTAAAGTAATTCTATTTATATGAATGTAGTTTTTAAAAACTGTTCAAAAACGTGCCATAAGTTCAATTCCTCAGTACATCTAACCTTAAAAGAAAATACTTGCACCTTTAGTTCTTGTCTATTAGTTATATAAGTATGCTTTTAAATCTTTTGTTTATGTAGAATGAAATTGGTCATTGTTAAATAACACATAAAAAATTTTTAAAATGACTGTACCGATACATTTATTGAATATCTGTCAATTTAGCTTCTTTTTTATTGTAATTTCAATATTAACATCACTGTATTTAATACAGGTTTGTTTCTTATTACCATTTTCTGATGTAACATTCAATGTTTTACAGCCATAATTGTCACAGTGTATGTACCATAAATTATATACTTTTTATTAAATTCCACAATTCTTGCATTGAAAGTTTGACTCGCGTAATTCTTTTAAGTAGCAATTGACTCGTTACACACTTTGACATTCAAAATGCAAAATCATCCTATCCCTTATAGGATTAGATGTGTTAAATGTGTGTTAGAGTCAGTGGTACTGTAATAATTCAAAGACGACCGAGAGCTAACATTTTTTTTTATGTCCATAGGTAACAACATGAAAAAGTGTCGAGCAAGGTTTGGACTTGATCAACAGAGTCAGTGGTGCAAGCCCTGCAGGTATGTTTATTAATATACGAATGCTAGAACAGTTACAGAGTATTGTAATAACTGTAAACGCACTTTTTGAGCCACTTTTTTACAACGGAGTGCGTCAGCTCAATACTTGTACATTTTTTCTCTCCTTAGTTAGAATGTTTTTATCGATTCAAACTATCAGGAAACTGTAGATGTGTACTTATACTTAGATAACGCTTATACAAAAATCAAATTCCTCACGAGCATACTGATTTTTCAACGGGAGTTTTATTATATTAAAAACTAAAACAGTTTTAAGTTTGATTTAATGATGAATTAAACTCATTAGATGACGATTTTTATTTTACTAACTACCAAAGCTTTTTTCCTATAAATTTGAGCAATTATTAAGTTCACATTCAGTTAACAAAGTTTCATCCATTTTCAAAACGTTAAAAGCTTTTTGTTATACAAAAAACTAAAATAATAAAAATTTTGATGATAAATGACAGTTTCATCTCTGGAAATCCTAGAATAAAATTATAGAAACAAAAATAATGGTAACAAGTGTAATGTACACAAAGATGCAGTTCGTCAGAAAATGTATTTCTCAGAACATGTATTATTTATCCAATTTTGCCTTACGCTGCTGTCATGACAGACAAAGCTAAGCTAATCACACTTTTACTGTACCTTACTTGTAAATAGTAATATTCTAAAAAAATAAGCTCAGATAACAATGTCACAAATCGTAAGTATTGCAAAATGCATGCTAGGCCATGTAATAAAAACTATCAGATCTCAAAATGATACCTTGACTTTATACGCTTACTTTGCTAACTCAATGCCATTTTTAAACATTCTTTTACTCAATACTTTGATTGCTATTATAATAATAAACGTAAATCTCATCATTATCATTATCGTCGTCGCAGTCATCATTATCATTACTATTACATATTGTAACTGCTTAATTTCTTGACATAGTTTCTACATAACCATTTACTTAGAAATATTTCAGAATCTTCGATTTTATTTTATGATACCATATTTTAGTAAGCAAACTTTGGGGTTGTAAATCTTCTGAAGCGATGAACAAAAAAATTTGTTATTTTTTTATCTACAGCCCTTAAAATTCCCGTTGTACTGTGATGTAACTAGTACATATTCTTAGACAGTTAAAACGTATATTATTAACTAATACACTGATGGAACATCAGTTTAAAAACCAGTGGTAACAAACAATTAGGCAACATTCAATAGTTTGTTAACTCTGTCTGTAATATAGTTATGGAACTGAAACCACCACTTAAAGATACTCATAAATGTAGAAAAGTAAGCTTGGTAGGTATTACCTCTATGGTAACGACACTGGTTTCAAACCACTCTTAAAGACGAACTAAACCAACAGAACTCCTAACGGAATTACAAAAAAAGCGCTAAAGAAGCTGTACGACCTAATGATTAAAAAACGCATTTGTACCTATGTATATGAATCCACGTAATATTGTGGTAGAGCACAGTATTTTAATAAATAATCTTCCGCAAACAATTTTTTTACGGTATCGCATGGAACATTTAATTCCTAAATTTAATACATATTTTATAATTCTAATCTTTAAGTTATCATCATGTAGTGCGCAGTGGACTTAAGGTGGATCTTTTTTAAAACGATTATGAACACAATAAATCATACTGTGAGAAATTCTTCACAAAGTTGTAATACACGGCCCCTTAAAATTTCAGATTGGCTTGACAAATATAAATCCAAGAAAAAATAAATGAAAATTAAAACCCTAAATATGTGCTTCTATGGCAACTAAGCATTCCTATACTAAAAGTTGTCGCCTAATTATTTATTTACTAAACATTACGGAGTAAAAATCTAACACCATGAAGCTTATGCAATTCTAAATATACTTCTATCTTAAAGTATCTGTATACACAGACGTAACTAAAAGATATTGATATAAGCACAGGAATGAATTTTCATTTCCTACTCTTAAAGGATAGACAAGCATCAACGGCTGGTATTGTAAGGTTAAATGCAAGTTTTATACAACTTTTGCTACGAAATTTCACATTATATATCATAATCTGAATTTCTAAATAAGTACTTAACTTGATGCAATAAACAAAATTTGTAAAAATTTTTCTGAAAATTAAGTAATTTTAACAAAAATCAATTTGATAGATTCGAGATACATGAAAGAACCATATTAAACGACTTTTGGATAACACTCATAAATAACACTAACCTAAGCTATTTTTTGTTAAATAACTCTATTAAACGAAGGAATAATAAATCTGGGATGATAAATAGTATACTATGACCTGAAGCAGGAAAAATGAAGAAAGTTTGAAAGTGTCCGAGGCGAAAACAATAATGACAAACAGTTCAGATAATTATGAAAAAAAGTTCGTTAGGAGTTAATTTGAGGTACAGTTGTTACATTGGGACATGGATTCAAGTGTCTATCAGGTCAACTTTTCAAAAGATGACCCTTTCTGAGAATTTTTCTTAAGGTTTGCGATCGGCTCTGCAACTCAGGGCAGCTTGAAGTAGGGGTGGAAACAAGGATTATGAAGTGTTAGTTGGAGAAGTTGGGCCAGGGGCTATGGGTTTAGATAAGGATGTTCATCACAGTTGTTGGGAAGAAAGCCGCCCTTTGTTTTTCTTGTATAGATATGCCTGTACATACACAATCACGCATACTCGATCCTTTCTTTCTTATTTTATTGAAAAACCACCTTGTAAATGGACTTGAAAATGAAATATAATGTTTATCTAATATTATTTTATTATACCAAAAAAATTTCGAAGATTTCTCCACATTATTTTCTTATGAACGCGATTTTATGTGATTCTTTCATAAGCTTACATGTCCAACTGATGAGAGTTTTTTAAAATTAAATTTATTAATAATGGCGCAGTTAAAAGGTTTTAGAACTTTGTGTGAGATATTTTTATGGTATAAGGAATATACATTAAAAAATTTTTCCTACCTTGGGCTACTTTGATGGTTGGGTGTGCCCTCGGTAGGAAAAATAGGGTTCACACCTGGTGCGCATCCAACCAGGACAAGCACACGGAGTCCCTCGGGCCCTGCTTTGGAGGTCCCTCGGGCCTGGTGCTTGCCCTGGTTAAATGCGCACCTGATACGAACCCTATTTTTTCTACTGAAGGCACACCACACCTTTAAAAACTCCCGAAGTAGGAAAACTACTATTTCGTCCCTCGGGTGAAGTGCTTTGCGCCCTAGGGCGCACTTTCCACTTGCTTATTACTTTCCGCCCATGGGCCGGAAGAAACATTCTGGCCCTGTCAAGCCGAAAGTTTGTTTTCCCCCTAGGGCTGAAAGTAGTTGACGGGTAGAAAGTGTGCCCACGGGCGCAAAGGTGCACTTTCCGCCCTCGATACAAAAAATGTCGTTCTCACCGTGGGCACAAAGATACAACAACCGCACCCTTCGGGCGCGCAAGTTGTACTTTCTGCCCGAGGTAAAAAATATACTATAACAATATCCATCAGAAAAACTTGTGTGTGATGGACGTCTTTCAAAAATAGGAGACGGGACGAAGGAATTTATACTAGTCGGGTTTCCGGATTAATACCTACACTATTAAAAAATACTATACTAAAATTATGATGGTTAACAGGGGTGATTATTAACCTTATGTACCGAACATTTAATTCGTTACAAGCTAGTAAAATTAGAATCAGGAGTGGTAAAATTAAACGGTGAGATCGCAGATAGCGGTATTATATCAAGCAGAAAATATGAACTACTGGGTAATAATATTACTATTTCAAATACAAAACTTACGTTTCGGGTATGTAAAACTGTATTTAATTTTTGTGGTTGTACACAATTTTCAAAGTTAAGTTACCTCAACCAGTAGTATAGCAATACTATTATATATAATAGCAGGAAAAGTATAACCTATATTCTCTGACTATTCGCTGGGTGCAGGCAGTTGGAGGGGATAGGCAAAATGATCTAAGCGTACATGGTAATCATTTAGTGTAACTTGGGTGCCGAAGCTTGCAGCTGACGCCATCAACGTGCGTATGCATATATTTTTCAAGTAACCTCGAAACTGTTCTCACCAGCAAGTTTTCCCACTGAGCTGTCGTCTGTCGTCTGCAAATTTTGGCACTTAAGTCTCACTTTTTCGACACTGTACTTAAGGTGCTGCGTGCTATGCACCCAAAAAATAGTACATAAAATGTTCTCAATATTTATAATCAGTACTCTGAAAATGATCTATAGGCAGACATTTGTACGTTTTTATTATTTTCATTCGTTAGCCACCACATGTAAATTACTCATGCAAGAATAATTTGTATTTTAACAACTTTCATATTGATTAAAGCAAAACTTTTATCAAGTCGTTTATTAGAAAGATAATGTGATTTACGAAGATAATGCCATTTCTAAGAATTGTGTCGAACATTAATAGTGAGGATTTAGCTGATGTTTAGTCGCGGTCAAAGTACGAAGCGGGTTTCACTAGTTATCCTGTTTATTTCTAAATTATCAGTTAACATAAATCGTACTCTCGCAATAAAAACGTGCTACTTAAAAAAAAATCGATAAAAAAATCAAAGCATGGTGATGGTGACTTGCGAAATGGAATCTATAAGAGAATGCCAGAAAGGAATGACTCCAATAAGAGCTGTCATATATTTTATGGGGATAGAGATTCAATAATGTAAACTAGGGTTTCTTCTTTAGGGAAAATTATTAATTATTATACATTACTTCTGTCATTTTATTTCAAATATTTTAACAGCCCCCACTAATGCAAAACTTAATAGAATCTACAAACTAATATAATAAGATTCTGAACTTCAACTTGTTATAAATTTAGTTCAAGTGGGATTGTCTATCTATTTTCTATTTATTTTTGGAAGAACAAGATGGCTTGTCATTGAGTTATATAGTTTTCGTAATTGAAATAGTAATCTTTCTTACAAGAGAAAATGAAAATTCGGCACATACGTGATCTGATGCTTATGGATAAGCTCATCCCTACTG